TCTCAAAAATAGATTAGTTAATAGGCCTGTATTTCTACATATGCGGGCTTGGCCGCATAGAAACCGGCTCCTTCCAAATATAGATCATTGTCATGGTTGAGATTATCGAATCCTAAAATTTTGGATCGAAAATTTATCTTTGAGATATATTTTGGAGGCAGACCGTATAAGAATAGGTGAGTCGGCGACTCGCCAAGGAAAAAGGACATGATTGTGAATGGTTGTATTTTATGCAAAAGGGAGGCTGAATCAGTTGAACATATTTTTCTCAAATGTCTTTATGTAAATAGGTATTAGCTTGGGTGGGTCTTAATAGTAATGCTCCTAGAGGGATTGATGATTTACTTGGGGATTGATTGAATGCAGGAATTAGTAAGAAAGGAAGGATTATCTGGAAAACTATAAGAGCTATGGTTGTTTGGGAAATATGGAAAGAAAGAAATAGGAGATGTTTTGAAAACAAGTCTTGTATTTGTAGAATTGATAGAAAAAATCAGAGTTTTGGTTGCTGAATTTTTTGTTATAAATAAGGAATTGTAGGGGGTATCTCGATTTGATATGATGTATAATATGAAGGAGGTAATAAAAGTGAAATCAATAAAGAAGGTGAGGATAGGTTTATGGCAATGCTCTATGTTCGAATGGGTGAAGTTGAATTTTGATGGTTGCTCTTTGGGAAATCTTGGACAGGAGGTGTAAAAGGAAAGTGCATATCGGGTACCAGGTTAATATAGAAAGTATATATTGCAATCATTATTTATGAGAATGGTTGATAGAGTATTTATACTTTAATATAAGCTTAGCTATGATTTAGGTATTTATGATTTAGTTTCTATTATTGTCATTTGTAATTTCTCTATAAGGCAAGGTTGTACATTCATACGATTAATGGACACAGAGTCTCTTTAGAGAAACCTAAGACTCTGCACATAGTATTAGAGCCAGATTCATCTTAGTTGTATCCATTCCTCGTCCCTGAAGTATTTTCGCCAATTTTCATGACGACTCTGTTGCTCACCCAGTCGGTGCAACTTCTATTGAGTCGTGCTTCGACTATCTGTTAAGTAGTATTTCGACTCTCTGATCTATCCTCTCTGCTGAGTCATGTTTTAACTCTCTAATCTGCTTTTTTGCCGAGTCGTGTTTCGACTCTCTGATTTATCTCTCTACCGAGTCATGTTTCGACTCTCTGGTCTATCTCTATGCCGAGTCGTGTTTCGACTCTCTGGTCTGTTTGATCTTTTCCAAGAGTTCCTGAAGCAATATGTTGTCGATGCTTATTGATTCGCCGCTGCTTTCAGTGCTTATTGATCAAGCAATCTGAGTATGCACCTGAAGGTCCAATTGCTCATTTCCGTAATTAGTGTTAGAACTCCCGCTGCTCTCTCTTGCATCTTGAGTTTGAGGGGGAGTGTGAAAGAAAGTGTATATTGTGTATCGGGTTAATATAGAAAGTATATATTGCAATCAGTATTTATGGGAACGGTTAATATAGTATTTGTACTTTATTATAAGTTTAGGTATGGTTTAGGTATCTATGATTCAGTTTCTATTATTGTTACTTTGTCTATAAAAGACAAACCTGTACATTCATATGATTAATGGATACTAAGTCTCGTTAGAGAAACCGAAGACTCCTCACAGGAGGTATAATTAGAGGTTGGGAAGGTAAAGTCCTTTTGAAATATTGTGGACCAGTAGGAACCATGACTGAAATGAGGCTGAAATCAGAGCTTTGTTACAAGGGCTTAAGTTGGTTAAAGAATTTCAAAGAGCTGTGGAGATAGAAGGAGATTTTATGAATATAGTCAAGTGGGTAAAGAAGAAGCTAATTATCCATGGAATTTCCAAAGTTAATATGAGGTTAAACATATTTACAGAGAGGCTTATAGGCTTTAAAAAAGAAGAGTATTAGAGAGCAGTTTAATTGTTGTAAGAGATGCAGTTTAATTTTCGTCTACTGTTTGTTTGCTTGTAATTGGTTTTGTTTTTTGTGTAAGCTCTGATGTAACTAATAGCAAGATTCTGCTGAATCTTGTTTACTGATGAATATATTAATATGTGACTTTTTTTCAAAAAACAATTTGGTATGAGTATGTTTTTTACAATAGTTACACAAAGACCACCCCAACCTGTGGCCTTTTTTGACATTTTGTAACATTGGACTGGTGGGAAATGCCGTAAGTTTTTTACCATTTCTACTTGGGCGTGTCCCATATTTACAACACTAAACAACTTTATTCTTCAAAGTGACTAGTGGTGGTCAACTCAACTTCCTAATATGTTTGGCATAAGAAAGACCGGGCTTATTATAAATAATTATTGTCATTTAAATTCTTACAATTTAATTCGTGTGATAGAATTTATGTAATGTAATTATTTTTTATTTTCTTTGTTGATATTTGTATTTGAATGTGGTTTAGTTTTCAATAAAATTTCATGAAATAGAATTTACAATAATAAAATTTTTCTATTATGAAATATTTAGCAGATAGAAATATTTAATTATTAAGATATTTTTTAATATAAGAAAAAGAATTTGTACTCTATCATTTTAGATATTTAATTTAAATTTTAATTGTATTTTATTCTTTTTTATTTTTCGAATTTTAGAATTGGAATATAAAACTATATATGGAATAGAATTCTAAAATAGAATAGAAATTTAGAAATAAGATGTTTGGAAATAAAAAAGTACAAAATCAAATAAAAGATAAAGGAAAATCTATTGAAAAATAAAATATATTACAATACAAATAACAATTACTATACTAAGAAATAAATAAAATTAATTACATAACATAAAGGGAAAGTTTATATATAGCCTAGGATCTAAACAATCAAATTAGAGCCTACCTTAAAATTTTCACGAGAAGATGTTGTTTAGATTCCCAAATATCATCAAATTGATTGATCATCTCGACATCAAGATTCATAGACATGAAAAACAAATGGATTTCAAGTTTTGGAAATAGTGTATCTTGTAAGCATTTTTGAACCGTCAATTTTCAAGCTTTTCAAGTTTTCATAGATCTGCTTGATATACACTATTTTTCAAGCTTTAAATTTTATAATCAAAGATGAAAATATATTTTAAGGCTATCACAAAAATTTTCAGTATGAAAACCATATTTCTTGACACTATTTGAAGGTGGGTTGTAATTGGATTGTTTAGAGCCTCAGCTCTATACAAATCGCACCCTTACATAAAGGGTGCGGTTTGTATAGAGCCTAAGCTTTGAACAATCAAATTAGAGCCTACCTTCAAATAGTATCGAGAAATGTAGTTTCAATACTGAAAATCGTTGTGGTAGTCTTAAAATATATTTTCATCGTTATTTATAAATCTTAAAGCTTAAAAAATGGTGTAGATTGGCAAATCTATGAAAATTTGAAAATCTTGAAAATTGATAGTCCAAAAATGCGTTATAAAATTCACTATTTCCAAAATTTGAAATCCTTTTTTTTTTATCAATTCGATGATATTTGGGGATCAAAACAACCTCATTTAGTGAAATGTTTTAGGTAGGCTCAAATTTGATTGTTTAGAGCCTTGGCTCTGTATAAACTTTTCCCTTACATAAATTCTATTACACAAATTAAATGGTAAGAATTTAAATAATAATAATTACTTATAATAAGTCAATTATTTTGTGCGCCAGATAGCTTAGGAAGTTGAATTGTTTGAAATTACAAACACCAAACAATACAGGTGCTTGGTTTTTCTAAAAGGAAACAGGCCTTGAGTAAGAGAAATTTTTTACCAGTTGACTTGTCGGATACTGTAAACACCAAAACAAATGACTAAAATCGTAGGATTTCCTCTTGTCATGTCAGACAGGTGCACAATTCTAGAAAAATTAAAAAATAAAAAAATAAAAAGAAAGAAAAGGCCAACTGTTGGGGTGGCCTCTGCACAATTGTTACAAAAAAAGCGCTGACCAATTAGCGCCGGGCTCTTTTCCCAAGCCTCTGTCGTACGTAATTTTTTTTCTAATTCCGAAGGATATACCGTTTTGAAAAACTTCTGCTCTGTGGCATTGAAGAAACAACTAAAATCAAAAGATAAAACGTACCGGGAGAAAGAGATTTAGTAGGAGAATATTTTTTTTTTAGTTCATATTGAAATCCAGAGACAAAAAATTGTGAATTGAATTCATTGAATCATCACAATGAGAAACAGGTGATATAATGTACATACTTTCTTCTTCCTCTTTCAATTCTTGGAAGAAAGACCCCATACTCACAAAACTCGCAGGATTAGCACCCGAAACTGAGGGCTGATCCTCTGCAACAACTCTAGATGTCGAAGAATCAGACCCTCCTTCTTGTTCCTGTGATTCTTTAATTTCTCGTCTCTTGACATCGATCCAGTGAACTGATGAGAAAGACCAATTGGGTCTTCTCTGAGAAGAGCTGGCCAAACGCCGAATCCGATCAAAGGTAGAAATTCTCTCTCCTCTGTTTCCTTTTCCGTGCTCCCGATCGCAGTAGCAATCCCAATCGCAAGAAGAAGCCAGACTCGAACACCACAAATCGCAATCAAGAACACTCCTTGGAGTCTCAATTGTGGTGTTTTCTCTCTCTACTTTGACATCCACAAATGGGTGCTGAAGCAATTGAGCAGCAGTCCATCTTTTCTCAGGGTCCCTAAACAAACATTTCCCCAGAAAATCTCTGGCCTTCTCCGACAAGTCCAGAGGAACCTCCGGTCCTTCGTCACCGTATCCAATTCGTAATAGAAGAGAGCAAAGATCGTCGACTTCACGCCATGGCTGCTTCCCAGTAAGCATCTCCAAAACTGTGCACCCAAACGCCCAAATATCAGATGCCTCGTCCTGTCGTTTGGCCCGGACAGTTTCCGGTGACATGTATAAGGGCGTTCCTCGAATGGACAGAAACGAATGGCAATAATCTTTGGGCTTTGCAAGACCCAAATCGATAATTTTCGCAAAACATGACGATGACGATGATGATGACGACAAGAGAATATTATGAGGCTTGATATCACAGTGAACAAAACCAGCATCATGTATGCAGAGAATGCCTTGTAAGATGCCTCGCGCATGGGTCTGTGCCTCCAATTCGCTCAATCCATGTCCTCTTGATTGAATCAGATTCAGTAAGCTGCCACCGGGGACATACTCAAGGAAGAGATTGTAGGCATCGGCTCGTTGCTCGTGGGCGAAGCACCGGACCACGTGCGGCGAGTCGAGGCATGCCAGGACACGCTGCTCGTTTTGCAGTGACCACGAAGAAGCGAACGGTGCCGTTTTCACGGCGACCGTTTGGATTTCTGAACGAGTGTGGAGGGTGCCTAGGCTCACTGTGCCAAAGCTGCCCTGGCCAATACATGCCCCTTTCTCCCATTCCATCTCTCTCTGCACTTTCTCTCTCTAAAGCTCCATCTCTCTCTGCACTTCCTCTCTCTAAAGCTCCATCTCTCTCTGCACTTCCTCTCTCTAAAGCTCCATCTCTCTCTGCACTTCCTCTCTCTAAAGCTCCATCTCTCTCTGCACTTCCTCTCTCTAAAGCTTCACTTCTTGAAATTGTTCACTTACATTGTGAATGCACTCTCTCTCTTATATATATATATATATATATAAACGTGTGTGTCGTTGTCTCCAATGGGATGTGAGATACGTTGTGGTTCTTCTCGCTCCTCCATTATAGAGAGACAGAGGAGGGAAACAGCACGTGGTCGGCGTGAGAGAGTTAGAATGAAACACGTGATCGCGTTTCTCTCTCTAAGTTAAAGAGGCATTCTCTCTCTAACTTCTTGGTTGGCTGGCTGTCAAAAGCGCCACCTTTCCTCTTCGCTTCCTCCTCCAACAAACCTTATTTGCCGTGATATTATCCTGATTCTGCGGTTTATTTTCGATTTTACAACATAATTAACCATTTTTAGTATGGCTGTGGTTTCTATAAGGTTGCAACCTGGAGAGAACCTCCAAATTTTATCATAATATGTAATTTTGGTAAAAAAAATTGTTAGAATTCACTCAAAATATATTTTTATATCTAATTATAAAATTTTAAACTAAAAACAAATTATTAAAATCAAGTAGATCTATAAACATATTGAAAATTTTTGAAAATTGACGGTCTATGTAATGTATTGTAAGATGCACTATTTATGAGACTCAAAAAAAAAAAAAAGTTTTTTCATATTCATATATCTTGATGTTGAGATGATTAATCGGAGGATTTTTCAACAGTGAAACAACCTTTTTCAATGGATTTTTAGGTACATTTATAATTTTACATTTTAAGGTTACAACCTTATATAAACATTTCCATAAAAGAAAAACCTACTATACATCCCTAATCATATGTTTTACGAGGAATTATATATTTTTTTCTAAATTCTCTATCTCTCAACTGTCCTATTTGAATAGATGGCTAGGATGGCTTCAAATGTCAAAAATGAGTCAGTTACTATATGATCTAATGTATTAGAGTATTTTATTCTTAATTTTTTATAAATTATATGAAGATGAAATTTGGTACGTGTCAGCATCTCAATGTAACACACTTAAAATGATATCAAAAAATATGAAACTTTTAAGGGCATTTTAGCTATTTTATTTTATGGAGAATATTTTTTAATATTTTTTCTATTGAGAGTTTAAGAGAGGAAGGGATGCCTCAAATTTTATGTGAAAATGTTTTGTAGAAAAATTGTACATGCGTGACATTGTGATTAGGGCTTTCAACCTTCGCTTCAAATTGGATATCTGGTTGATAGGAAATGTAAAAAAATATATATGGGTGGAAAAATGTAGTAAGTTTTATACAATTCTAGACATAAATACCCTGAAACTTTTGTAAATGATAAAGTTAATGTAAACCAAATTAAAATATAAACAACCACCGTCCAATTTCATAGTTATTCATTTGCATGTACGTTATTAGTTATTGCAATTTCTCTCCTCTTTATTCCAAATTGCTCCTCATGTACCTTGTTGAGAATTTTGACCAGCATTTTTTGTGGGTAAGTATTTGACCAGTAATGTAGTGATATATCTTTTCATAGTCAAAAAAGTGATTTTTCTTTCAAATTTCGTACATAATTTTTTTTTGACAAAAAAATTTCATACATAATTTTTCAACGAGAGCATTTAACCATGATAATAATACTAAATCTTAAAATACAAGGTGCACAAGTTGGGGCAGAAATTAAAAACAAAACACTATCGGATGTAGGATCTGACGTTCAAGAGTCAACTACAATGTGACTCAAGTCATCTAAGCCATCTATTCAGATCTGCCTTCTAAAAGCATGATTTACATAACCTTTATATGTAGGTGGGATATTATGTTGAGCTTTTTGTTAATGATAAGTCATAAAATACAAGATTGTATACTTCTTTTTTTCTTTTTTTTTCTTTTTTTTTTTTTAAGCACTGGTAGAATTTTATGCTTTTCTATTAAGAGTGCGGTTTGTATAGAGCCAACGCTCTAAACAATCAAATTAGAGCCCACCCTCACATAGCGTTGAAAAATATGGTTTCAATATTGAAAAGTTTTGTGACAGCTTTAAATTATATTTTTATCTTTAATCATAAAATTTAAAGCTTCAAAAAAATTTAAAAATCTTGAAAATTGACTGTTTAAAAATGCATTATAAGATGTATTATTTTCTAAATCCATTTTTTTTTCATGTCCTATTATAGGGATAACTTGTGCTATGACTTTTTGTAATAGTTAAAACTTTTGCCTCTTTAATAGCGACTTGGGCACGTTTGTGTCATGAAACGAACCGTTCACATGGTAGAAGCTAGGAAACAAATGACACGTGTTGTACCCTCCTTTGAATAGACTTTTCCGGATCACACACAAGCGAGAGGAGCCCACACAAATTTAAGCGAATCTGCACCACCCAGCATTCGTTTAGCCGGTGTCGTAGTTCACATTCAAAGTCTACTGTAATGTTTTATTTATGTGACTTTTTTTTTTGTCTTTTCTGGAAGAATATCACTGAACGGGTCGAATTATTTTACAATGTCATTAATGGTTCAGAATATCATATTTGTCACTGTATGGTTAAATTTTATTTTAAAAAAGTATATTTTCGAAAAAGTTAAAATTTCTCAAATTGTCCTTCTTCAGGTTTGGCAACCGTGAATAATTAGGGAGATTTTGGAAATTTAAGTCACCTAAAGAGTTCAAGTGAAAATACAAATATATCCTAAGTTGTTCTAGGTTAGGAGTATTGATCTAACCAAGTGACAAAAAGGCCTTTGGTTCTATATTGGTAACCCTGAAAAATTAGGGTATTTTTTTTTATCATTTTTTTAGTTCTATTTTCCTAATTTTGAGCAATAATGATTATTTTTGTGATTTAGATCAAGCAACTTAAGTGGGTCATACTCATGATGGTTCAAGATCCTAATGTTTGGGGTTTTCTATTTCTTTCTACAAATTTTAATATAAAAAAATTAGTTTTTGGGTATTTGGTCTTTTATCTATTTAAGTTAGGTAGTTTTTTTTTTTGTTGTTGTAAAAACTTGAAGGGTGGTGTCAGAATTTTAATTTTAAGTAGATGAGGGATGGGTCTTATTGTGGTTAATAGGGTTTAGGTTTCAGTGAAAAATATGTAGTGTTGGTCAAGTAAAAGGCCAACAAGAAGAATTTATATTTATTTTAGGTCTTATGAGAAAATTTTGAAGGTAGGTTGCCTATAGACCCAGAGAGATGGTATAATCTCTCAACCTCTTTTCTAATTTTATTTTTATGATTTGCAATATATTTGCTTACTCCTTTTTCTTGTATTAATTGCCATTAGAATTAAGAAGATCCATCCATCACAATGTCGTCAAAGTCAGCATTTGCAATTGAGGGTATACTTTAAGAAGGTTGTGAATCAATAAATTAACAAGCGCATGAATTAGCAAATTAAAGATGGCATAATCAACAGGTTATAGAGTATTTTTTAGTCCAGACAGGTGATAGATTGGTGAAATGAAATCCGTGATTGCAATGATTATCCATCATCTAGTGGAAGTTGATCCCAATCCTCTATAGTGTTGGCACCAAATTCTCATACTAGGGAGTAATCATGCTCCACGAGCAGGCAAATCTCATGCATAATCAATAAACTTGGAGGCAAGAATCACAAATGTGGGGCATCCACTAGATCCCAGTGTTTAAGATCGATCTTCCCAAGTTTTATGATATGCTCCACATTAAGATTTTTATTAATTGGTTGAGTTGAATTGAAATTTCTTTAATTGCAGTTCCTTGCCTCAAGACTACATTCAAGTCCTTCTACAAGTTACACATTAAGTGTATAATTAATTAGTTGAATGAAGAAGACAAAGTACCCAAGCGAATGGCGACTCCACCAACTTTTTAAATAGCCATTCAAAGATGCAATGAACACTACAAGCTTCAAGTTGAGCTTCTCTCAATCTCAGGAGAATGATGTAGTTGGATTTTATTTTATTTTTTACTAATTCTTTTATATAACAATATTAGGTTTAGGTTATATGGTAGTTTATTATTTAAGTTAGTCTATTTATGCCTTTTTCACTTGTAGATAATTGAAGGTTAGATTAAGAAAGTTTAATTTGAAATAGATGAAGGTCATGATTTAATTGCAGTTTAGGGTTTCAGATTTTAGGTTTTTCTTTTAGAAATATGTAATTGTTGGATAAGATAAAGTAGAGAAGACTAATATAATTTAGGTCTTATGAGAAAAAACCTTTTGAGAGGCTTCCTTGCAGTCGCTATCACCTATTTTTTATTTTATTTTTAATTGTTTACAATTTATTTTTTCTCTCTTCTTCCCAAATCAATTGGTATCAAAGCTAATAAGATTTATCCATCACAGTACCATCAAAGTCAGCCTTTGCAAGCGAGGATATATTGCCACATCTCATGGGATTGTGAATTACGATGTATGGAGCGTTTGTGATCTTAGTATTAAGGTTGATCTCCCCGAGTTTCTTGGTGAGTTCCACATTGAGGGTTTTATTAACTAACTGAGTGCAATTGAAACTTTATTTGAATCGAGTGATTTGGCAAAAGAGTGTCTACATGTGAATCCAAGACTGACTACGATCCGTCTGAGATCATGGGTCAACTTAGTTATTTAAAATGAGTCGATAGAAGATGGATCCCTTAAAATTCAGATATACATAGAAATTAGCCTTAAAAGGCTTATTCTTTATGGGATTGTCTACAAAGAGACCATTTATCTTTTGTACATGGAGGCAACAATCATTCCCACTTATTAGATGTCAAATTGGATGGTTTGGGGTGAGTCACGAATTCCGAGAATTTATGTTTTGGAATTTTGTGTCTATTCAATAACACACTTACAACCATCCATTTTGAAATTTAAGGGACAAGAATGATTGTGACCTCCATATACAAAAAGATAAATGGTCTCCTTGTAGACAATCTCATTCTTTATAAATCCACAGTAGAGCCAGCTTAGGTAGTGTGAAATACAAAATAAACACAGAAAACAAAGGAAATATCAAAAAAAAATAGCACAAGAATAGATCTACTGAAGCAAATAAAATAAATAAT